CAGTAAAGGGTCTCGGTGCTTGCCAGAATGTAATTAAGAAAAGTCAGGGCTGCCAGTTTTGCAAATGGTTTTGACATACAGAAAACAGTTCCATAAAAATAACAAAAGAATAAGCGTCTGTACTCATAACTGAGTTAGTTTATTTTGCATGTTCGCTCTACTGAAATACTCTTGCTTTTTTCTTTCCAGAAAATCAATTATGTATAGAAATGTCTTCCGTGATCCCCCTTTTGGCTTGTTGTATATCCCAAAGGAGAGCATTTCAACTATCGACTGGACATAATTGTGTACATGACATATTTGGCCCGACAGAGCAGATTAAAACAAAAAGATGAATAATGCATAAATGCGATAAGTAATAATGCTTTCCGCTATACAGTTACATTGCTAATTTTCTCTCATTTTCATTACCAAAACTAAAGGAAGTCAGTTTCATGCACGAATGGAATTCTTGCATACATAATCAGATTTTGAAAATGAATTATACTGTACTTAATTAATGTTATTGCAAAAGGGATCAAGGTTTTTTATCTAATAAGCCAACACCAAGTAAAAGATACATTCATTCTTGTTCATTAAAAATGTAATCCAATCCATTTCCTGACAATCTGGATTTTTTGATACATACATTTTAAATTTTATACCACAATAAAGCAGAATCACTCATTCTGAGACGTAGCACCTCTGTCAAGGAGGATGTAGTGATGGGGATACAAATTTGGACTTGTATCCTGAATGTTGTTGGTTCGAGTTCCCAGGACGGGGTCTGTTGTACTGTATTAGCTATAAACACGATCCCTAATGTGCCTCCTGTATGTGGATGCTGCTCTCAGGGAGACAAACATCTTACTAAACAATAAAATATTAAACAGTGGAGGGGATATAATGCCCAGTACCTTTTGAAATATTTGGTACGAGGTGCTCCAAACCCTCATTAAGCCAAACAGAAGGTAAATGAGTACATTTTCGGGCAGAATTTCTCATCTTCAGCCTCAGCCAGCAATGTTTCTGAGTGAGTACTTGATTGGTTGTACCTGACAACCTGCACCAAAAATGTACTCTTTTAGTAATCTTTTAAAATCTTTTCCGGTAATAATGCTCGGCTGTGCAGTCTTATCAAAAGGTAAATAAAAAAATCAAAAGATGTTCATTCAGTTATCATTAAAAACAATTTTGTTGTTTTATGTCAATATGAGTGCATCATTATGAACCAAAAAGCCTGTCAGTAGCACTTTCTCTTTAATCATCTTCGGAAGCTAAAGCTACTTAGCGTACTGACATAGCTCTGATTTGTCTGTGCCTAAAAATACCTTTAATGTGTTTTAAAATTAAAAGATGTTTGGGCAAAATGGAACACAGTGATACTCTTAAACTTCAATTTAAAACAGAATCACCAGAAGAGCTGATCTGCAGAAAACCTCTTTGCTGCATTTTCAGAAAAGAAAATTGAGTACTGGGAACAACAACTGAAAATATACACTGAAAGCAATGAATGTCTGATGCCGCATGGCTGTTTGGCGAGACAACATTGACTAAAAGCAGGCACACATTCTCCCTACGTCCACCTTGCACGTGCAACCATTTGATGTTGTATGTGAGGTATCTATATAAACATCTCTTTATCCATCTTCCATAAAAGATAATCCAGTGAAGGGTCGGCCCGGGGCCTATCCCAAGAAATACACACACACGCAACCGCACACTCCGGCCAATTTGCCGTAACACGTTTCAGGACTGTGGGAGGAAACCTGAGTGTCAGCAGGAAACCCGCACAACACGAGGAGAACATGCAAAGCACACATAGACCAATCAGGGCCACCACTCTGGAGATCTGAGGCTGCAGTGCTGCCCACTCAGGCGCCGTGCTGCCTCTGCTCATAAAAATAAAGATTAATAATGACCCACAGCATTTTCATCTGCTATCACTCTTTTGTTATCACCATGATTGGAGAAGGTTCACATTCTGGGCCTACCTGGTTTCGGTAGGACCATCTGGACCGCACTGAGGATGCCAGTATTCGAGGCACAAATCACATAATGTTTTCTTAACCTTCTCTGAAAATGGGAGCCTCTTTCTGAAATTTATTGCAGCGACATCCAGGAAATTACACTTAAAGTAGCAGTAGTGAATAAGGACATGTGACCTCAGGGCTGTTCATTTAAGTCCCAGGCAGGCTACTGTAATAGTACGTAATATAAACTGTTGAGTCCTACTGAGGCTCTGTATTTTTTAATTTTTATGTCATCTTTTTGCTCATGTGACTGTCTTCTAGTTTTCTTATGATCGAGTGGTTTGCGTGGAATATCGTGTGTGCTTGTAATTGCATACCATCCTGGTCGTACCCAGCCTGCTTCTCAGCAAAGGCCCCAGACTTGCTGCAAGCCTGCTTTTATTCACTGGAAAAATTATGGATTAATGGGTCACAAGTTGCTTTGGGTCAAAGCAGCCAAATCATAGAAATTCTATGAATGCTGCTGTTAAAACTGAAATTGAATAGTCTCTTTTCAAAGGAGGTAGAGCCTTACTTTGGCTTTCAATAAAGGGATATTTCAAAGAACAGCTCTGTCATCTGCACAGGTCAAAGACCGAAGAGCCCCCCCTTATATGAATGTTACCATGTGTAGCTGGTGCAGAAGGCTGTCTGTGAATTAGCTACCTTATCAACAAGCGATAAAGAAATCCAATCGACTGCAATAGCTCCCATTTTGTGCATATAATGCACTAGGCGTGTGAAACTCAGCTTATGGGAAATCAGACTGCATTTTCTATTCACCTCATTTATTCCCAAGTTTCCACGGTGTGCCCTGTTTCCCCCCCGCAATTTAAAGACTCTAAATTGCCCATAGTGTGTGATGGATTGGTATTCTGCTTATCATGTGTGCTGAGATTCTTGGGATAGGCTGGATGGAATGGATGGATGTGTGTGGTTTAGCCCCTAGAATTTACACAATTAAGCAAGAGGACAAAATTAACCATACTACTAATATACAGGGTAGGACCACAGTCCACAGCTCAAATTTCACCTTTACACAGATTAAAAAAAATTCCTTCCCTGATTAGTAGACTCCTCACACAGGTTGTTAATTAATGTGACGGTTGTGTCCCTTATGATTTCTCTAAGAATCTCCTGCATTTGAAGGCTTTCCTTTCTCCCTTTTCCTTTTTAAAGTATTGTGCCAGTGATATTTACTTATGGTAATTTACCAAGAAGGTCAATTAGTCAATTATTCAGACCAGAGAAAGTCAATTGCTTATGCACACGTAACCCGCCCGTGGGCCAGTCATCCAGAAAATTCTATTTATACGGTTTGCATGTATTAACTTTGAGTATAGACAACATGATAATGTATCAATTGTGTTTTTAATACAAATTCAGGGTTCATTCCCATTAAGGTGCAACCATTTTTGAATAATTACCCAGCACAGATAATTGTGTCACGCGGAGCATGTTCAAATATTAAAAAAACAAAACAAACAAAACAAACAGTCACAGGCCCCAAAAACTATTTGTCCTTCGTGTCAGAATAATTGAACGTAATTGCAGCATGTGTTAACAGTTGTGCTCTAGTTGGTTAACATTGATTTCAGTCCCAACGTGGAATGAACGACTGATTATCAGCATATAATCATGAGAATCAGTCGATTTTCTGTTGGTTACCAAAATGGAAGTGTTTCAAAAAAACACAAGAGTTTTAATTTTAGTAGCGAGCATTAATAGTAGGCCGAATGCTACAGCGTTAGGTTGAAATGGAATTTTTCCAATGAAATCTGTAGTTTGTTCATTTATTAAAGGGCAGATGGCACTACTCAAGCAGGAAGTAATTGACATAATGACACTGCCGGGCCAGCATTCGTCTGCGTGTGACATCGGCCCACATCACAGCGATGCCCCTATTCAGGCAAAAAGACCCTTTCAGATCCGTCTAAGGACCTCGCTTCTTGTTGAGTCGGTCAAGTTGCTGCTGGGAAACAGAGGATCAGAAACGTTGTTTATAGCAAGGGAATTCAACTGTGTGATTTTTGCTCCAGTGGCAGAATATATGTTGTGTTTTAGGGTTCAAATAAGGAGCCCATTTTACTAAAAAGGTCAGCTACCGGAAGTGACCTCAGTATTAATCCTTGCTTCCATGCATATTAATTAAAGGACAACGTATCAGACAATCAGTATGTTCCCTCCCTGCAAATCAACAGGCAAAGAACTCATGAATTCAATCAACACATGCATGGTTTATGGCCTCAGAGCATGTCTGTTGCTTTATTTGACAGTATCCCACAAAACATGTAAAATATAGTTGGGAACATAGTTCCAGGAATGGTTCAAGGCACTAAGAAGATGGAGCCATGACCGTTTTCAACTCATTCAGGTAATACATTGAGTTAATCTTCACTTCCACATTTACAACAAAATTCTTGTGCACCTGAATTCTGGGAATTTGGTTTTGAATGCCATTCATGTAATCCATCTCCTTAATTAAAAAAAAAACCCAAATCAAACTTTAAATTGCTGTTCCAGCTATAGTCACATTTTCTCTCCCCTAGCTTATGAACGCATTTATAAAACAGACACATCCAACATCCTGAGTTTAAGACAAAACGAAATCATTTTGAGGGAAAGAGGAGAAACAGGGGAGTAAGGAAACAAATACAACTGCAAATTCTAATAATGACAACTTTTGTTTGCTTCGTGGACGCGAAACATTTCAGTGATCATGAGCATGTCAGAATACAGTAAAATTCTGATTGGATTATCGTTAATAAATTCCTTATGTAAACCCTGCTAAATGCATTTGTGTTTAGAATGCTTTTCTTCAATATCTTAACACTGGATTTTTTTTTTTTAAAGCAAAATAAAAATTAACCAGCACTTTGCAAATAATTGGTCAAACCAGGCGGGAGGGGGTGGGAATGACCGCATCTGGTGGTTTGGATGCTTATCGCCCGTCCCCTAATCGCAAGTAAACGAGCGTTCACACCCATAAAACTGGTTGGACGTCAAAAGTAACTCGTCTCCGTGATGACAGAACCGAAGGCTGCAGAGCACGGAATAAATGCCGGCGCACGACCTAGTCTGAGCTCATCGGAGGCCACGCTGTTTCATATTTATACGGCAGCAGCCAGCAGCGTGCAGCCACGCTTCCGATGTGACAGACGGAGTGCGGCGCTCCGTGGTACCTCAGCCCTGCAGACGGATCGCGATCACAGGAGATTATACACGGGAGACCGCTGAACTTTTCAGCCCGCTGTAAAAAGAGTTGCCTGCAAGTGAAGGTAAGCTCTACTCCCCGTTTTTTTTTCTAACGTAAAACTAGCCGCACTTTAATATCTCACTGACTGAGAAATGACTTTGAATTCACTGCTTTAGATTATGTAATCGTTTAAGATATTGCTGAGAAATTTGGGATTATCCTATTGTGTCATTTTATGAAAACTCGCACATTCCTCCTGTTGATTTCTAAGCAAAGTACAGACGCATTTACTGAATATCATTGCTAAGTGTGCTTTTTCGTGCGCTTAATTTGTCATTATATTCAATTTACATCTGAATTTTCCATCGATAGAAATTATGGGGAACAATAGCTTCCCTCCCCCAATAATCATGTGTGAACTTGTTGCCACATCATGAGATGTGCTGTAGGCTATACTCCGCAATGTCTTCACAGATAAAGGGATAAAGTCAGATCGCTGTATGATTAAAAATAGACTCGATGTTAATTGTTTTAGGCGTTTTGTGAATGAAAGCGCAGGTGCTTCTTGCCGCCGTTCAGAAACTCTTTTGCAATATAACGCAACAGAAGGCAGTAAGTTGCTGAAAGAGTGGAGTTACAGGATTTTCTTATCATTCCCGATACACTTGCCATGCAAATCGCGAAATGACTGTATGTCCGTTTTTCCATGAAACAATTGCCGTGCCACTTTCCCCCCGATTATTACTGCGCTAGAAATTAAAGAAAAAAATTACAGGTGGAAGTAACATCAGCCCACTAGATGTGGGTATGTGTGATTGCGTTGATTTAGATACAATTGAGGGTTTGATATGAATAAACTAAGGTTGAATTTACATGCAGATTAGACGGATGCATTTTGCGCTTGTTTATTAATGTTAAGAAATATATTCTAAAATCAGTTAATTTTATAACTTGATGAAAGAGATCATTTCCATCTGAAAATTGGTGAAGGCAATCAGTTATCTACCTTTCATTTTATTTTTAATGTAATGAAATGGAGATTTTGAGATATTACATATTAACCGAAGAGTCTGAATTGCACTGAGGACGAACAATTGTTTTAAATGTCAGGAAAAAAAGTTAAATGAAAGGCAGGGAGGGGGGTGTTTCTAGAACTGCTAATATATTCGCATGCGGCAGATGGAGGGAAATTGTGTGGTATATTTTGCAAGTTTTTAAAGGAGCATGTTTAAAATAAGTACAAACACCATACCCGCTTACTGTAATAAGTCGTGAAAAATAACCCAGCAATCGCTTGTGTTGCTGTCCATAGTGCTGAAAATATCCGTCAGTATACGGGGATATCTGCGTTGTGGGCAATGTTATATTCTAATAATATTTTACGTTGTGTATTTAAGCCAAAGGTCACATCCGCCTTTGAAAAAATATTTCAGACCATTCCTCAGGGATTTCAGATCGTGGCTTATAATTTACAGACAGTTTTACCCTTGCCTCTAATTTTAAATTATCCTGCACCGAGGGGTACTGTATTAGCCAATCAAGCATGTTTTAAAGTTCAAAAGTGTCATACGAGGATCGGACAGGGTCACACCAGAGCCAACGATCAGATTTTAAAATGCCTATTTTACATTTACACAGAATGTTTGTAGCAGATCTTGCTTACCAAACAAGCAGCTCTTTAATCTCTCTTGCTGGACTCTCTGCCTAAGAAACAGTTTGCACGTTTTCCTTTTTTAAACTTGGATTTTGTAAAGATTATGCAAGCTTTGTTTCACTGAGCAGTATTCCTGCCCAATGAATGCCAAGAGAAGCCAGACTTGCACAAGGAAAAGGGGGGGACTCACATTAATATCACTGACTTCTGCGTTTGATGCACCTTGAGTTTTGGAGGGAAGCATAGAGGACACATAACCCAACAGCAGGGGTGCAGACAGACGGCTGAGAATTATTCCGAATGAAAAATACCGCGGCTCTTTCCAGCGACATCAAACGGGAAACTTGCGTAACATGCAAATGCGTAAAATTTCAACTGTGGCACCTCCCTAGCCAGCAGCGAATGTTGTATGTCGTTGTCAAAGGTGTCACCTTGTAGCAAGGTGACACATAACTCCTTAGTTTTACACTTTGATGGCTGGGACTTGGATAAGGAGACACCACTTTTGCTCACTAGTGCAGCATGACGAGTGTGATTTTCTCTCTCTGTTAAACCATCCCTCGACTCAGCTGTCGCTCGTTCCTGGCAGAATGTTTTAGATGGAATGAATCAGTCCATTCATCATTTGTAATTTTGGAGAAATACCTGCAGAAGTAGACAGCGAATAAGGAAACAGGACTGAATTACAGGTGCTTCAGTAAATAGTTCATTTCAGTTTACATATGCAGGTCAACCATATCCAAGGCAATATAAATTTATTACAAGATGAACAGATTTGTATGCAGTCTCAGTGTGACCTTAGTCTACTAGTGAAAACCCAGGATCAAATGCTTGTTGAAATAAATATAGAATATACTGTTTATCTACATTGATTGATAGCCTATTTCCTTTCTTACGTCCTTGCCATATTCTTGCTTAATGTTTTATCGGTCCAAATGATCTCTCTTTCTTATCTCAGGGAATGCCAGTCTCAAAAAAGTGGAGAGGAAGATAAACTCGATCGACTTGGTTAATCACAGAGCTAAAGTTAACTTATTTCAATCACATCTCCTATTCATCTAGCTGCTGAAAAACCCGCAGCATGCAGGACCCTGAGCCGAGCGTCTACCAGCTGCAGCCCAACATCATCTCGGTGAGGCTCTTCAAGAGGAAGGTTGGGGGTCTGGGTTTCCTGGTGAAGCAGAGGGTGTGCAAGCCGCCTGTCATTGTGTCGGATCTCATCCGGGGTGGGGCAGCGGAGGAGTGCGGCCTGGTCCAGGTTGGAGACATCATCCTGGCCGTCAACAACAAGCCCCTGGTCGACATGAGTTACGAGAGGGCACTGGAGACCCTCAAGAACATCTCACCTGAGAGCCATGCCGTGCTCATCCTCAGAGGGCCAGAGGGCTTCACTACCCACCTGGAGACCACCTTCTCTGGAGACGGGCGTCAGAAGACTGTGAGGGTTACTCGGCCACTCTTCCCTAGGTCCTTTGAGGGCTCCATGCAGGGCAACAAGGAGCAGCTGCGGGCAATCGAGAACCTCTCCCCAAGCAGGGAGCAGAGCACTCTCATCCAGATGAACAGCATGGTCTCCTCACTGATTGCTCCAGGGGAATCCGGGGACTGCCATGCCCTCCTAAATGGCGTTGAAGAGAACAAGGAGCTGTTGAGGGAAATAGAGCCTGTTCTAAAGCTCCTCAAGCACAGCAAGAAGGATATCAATGGGGTGGACCCAAGAGACACAGAAGTCCAAGTGGGCAGGTAAAGACCCGTCATCATTCACTAGCTGTACTTGTGTTATGCACCTATACACAGAGTCTGACTGGCATTCTATTATGCAGCAGTATGTGCTGGTGATACGAATCTGATTTCTAAATATTTGCAGCAAGCGCTGCACATTCAAGGCACATGAACCCACCATTTGTTTAATAAAAGAACATGCTTAAAATGACTCATCCTATCCCGTGAAAGGACAGCCGTAGAGCATCCTCTTCCTCCTGCTCAGCACAAAGCCCCACTTAAATAGCATGGATGCAGAATAATCTTTTGATAAACGCAGCATATAAACAAATGGGCTTTTAGAAGACAACATCCTTTCTGAAAAAAAAGCAGCAGGGGAAAGCAGATATGAGTTCGCTAACTCCTTTGGTCTACCCCATACAGTACATCTATGAAAAAGGGGTTACTGGACACTGAACTTTGAAAAGAATTGAAAGCAATGAGTCAGATGGAGCCTTTTCTTTTGAACAAATGAGCACGTAAAGGATCCTTTTCATTTTATTCTACACTAAGGCACCGTTTCCCAAAACTGTAGAAGTGGGTTGAGAGCTCATATTTTTTGACAATACACCGAGGCAATATGAACGTCTGAACATCTACTCGAATTCCCACTGCATCCGGGACAGTGCTGGACCTTAAGTGTAAAGCTCAGCTTTCGCATCACTCAGCACAATGAGCCCAAATACAAAGATCTTCAGCAGCTTGTGCGGAAAACGGAAAGCCATGCACCATGCTCTGATGGGTTTGTTGTGCTTGCCACCTATGTGGCCCTGAAGACCCGCCCCCTGGCACCGCCCACCTTCCATGTATCACACCACAGTCTGTCAATGAGCATCACATTCGTCAAGTCATTACCAGATCCGCATCTTGCGTCCTTGGCACAGCCCCCTCCACCCCACCCCCGCAAAGTTTGCATTCCCTCAGTGTCATGCTGCTGATATATGAGTCATCCCACATCTCTGACAAAATCTGCTACTCCGATGGGCTTGTTTACCTCCCTGGCAATGGGGATGGAGACACAGCACATGCTACGACTGCGTCCCGCCCTGGGTGACGCCCTGGGGACATTTTGGTTTGGCGGGATGGAGTGGCGGATGGTGCAAACGTGCAGCGCTTAACCGGTACTCTGTGTGATTTGCAGTGTTGCTGTGATGGGCAAAGAGCTGGCCTCCAATGCAGATCTGGCCCTCGATGACCCAGTGAGAAGGGATGACCCACCAACAGTACTCAACAACCCCTACTCCGAGGACGAGAAGGTAGCAGCATTCCCGAGGCACACAGGGTTCGCGGTTGGCCAACTGAGGCATACGTCATGCCGGGCTTGTGGTGGAATTGTCATAATCATTACCTGCCATTAATGTCCCCAGGCCACTCACTGTGATTCTGATGCTAAAAGGGTTGAATGAATGGAGCCAGATGGGGTGGTGATGATGGCTCGGGCTGGGGGGAGGGGGTCCAGGAAGCATGATGAATGGGGCACACAGCTGCGATAGCGAGGGGCCGTCATGACTTGCCATTGTCTGTTCCTGCTTCTTGGCCTCTCCACAACTGGTAGCCGTGTAACACTTGGAGGGCGATATATTAGGATTCATTGCAGGAAGGCGATGGAGAAATTTCCATGGTGTAAAAAATAGCTTCTGGAAGGAAAATAGGAGTTGGTAAGTGTTGTGAGGTCCCTCTATATGAACATTTATAGCAAATAAGAAGTTTTGCTATGACCTCAGCTTCTCTGAAAATTCTGTACAACCTGAGTGATGTCACAGCAGCCATTTTGTGCGAAAATGTTCACAAAACATCAGCCTGTTGGGTGATGAGGTGAGGAGGCGTTATTTGGCTAGTCACACTGATTGTGATTACACTTTACACATGCTGAATGATAGTATCGTAGAGACAGATACTGCGGTACATTGATGGCTGACATACAACAGTATGAACCATACTAAGGTTATTTCAGACATAGCATGAGGTCTGCAGGCCCACGCCTTTGTAGGAAAGCAGAGGCTCTGGACTCAGGTTCCCCCATCGGGCTCCGCAGGTTCAGCTGGAGAGCCTGGAAGCCGGTGTGGCGGAAGCGGGAAGGTCTCTGCTGAAGCGGCACAAATCACTGACGTTTAGCCCCACGGTCGGAGCATTCAGCTCCACCGACACAAACCTCCAAAGGGAGACTAACGTCAACTCGCATTTCAGTCCAATACTGGTGAAGAGACTCCAAGCAGTGCTGATAGCCTATTTCCTTTCTTACATCTTTGCCATATTCTTGCTTAATGTTTTATCAGTCCAAATAGCTTTGAATGTAATAATTAATGTAAAATAAGGTTAAGTCACCTCCAAGTCCTTCAGAAAAGTTTTTTTTTTTATGGTTTCCTAGCAAATTGCGTTCATCTCCACAGCAACGGGCAATTTTAAATATTATCTGTACATACTGGATTTGTGCTGAAATAATTTACATGCCCAGCTCAAAGGTACAAGATCAGAACCCATCCTAGCATTTGAACCTTTAGTTACTTAATCACTGCTCAGCCTATTACCTCTCTTGGTTCTTCTGTAGTGCTTTTCTCCATTCAACAAAAAATTGTTTTCAGTAAACCTCTTTTTTTGTTCCTTTTTCTGAGAGGAGTCATCCAGACCTCTGGCTCACTGCCACACGACTTGGCATCTAACACGATGGCTGAGATATTGGCATACTGGCAGAAACGCTCTTGCTAGCAAAGGTGCAAATCCAGAGATAATATCCCTGCCATTTGTAAAGAAGGTGCAAAGGAATTATATGACCCCCCCCTCGCCAAAGCATGACCTGAAATTTGAGATCTCACAGTGCTGTGATTCCTCTTGCTCTCACTCTTACTCCTGCACCCCATCGAACAGCCAGCTTGTGACCTTTCCTTGTCCCTCAAAGCAAAAGGCGGCCATTGTTGTCGTGCAGAATTGAACGTCCTCGTGAGGATCGTACCTGGTAGTGTTTTTTTTAAACACCATTTAAATTTCATAACAGTTGCGAAAACTTGTTTTTGCGAGCGGAGGGAAACTAATCAATTTGGGTGGGGGACACCCTCCTCCGACTCCCACGAGAATAGAGGCCATCAGTAAAGCTTAATTGACTTTCTTGTTTGCATTTATCCCTTCAGGAAAAGCTACAATTACCTTGCTCATATTTTGCAAGGAATCATTTACAAATAACTGCAATTGAGTGATGATAGTGGTGATGAGAGGGAAGACCATATTTCCTTTTGATTCATAGATCAGTGCTCTGGTTTCCACAGAAGACAACATGTACAGTCTCCTGCAAAGATGATTCACTGCAATTAATGAAAGGATGAATTAGTGACACCCATCCATCAATACAGCCAGCAGCATTGTTTTCCAGCGTAATCCCATGTGATAAATCATTGCCCAGATGGAAATAAATAACAGGTATAACCATATCACCAGGTCAGTTAATAAGGGTGAGCAAGTACAGGACAATCTATCTGTTTAACCAAGAAAATGATGCATATCCGGAATGGGCAGGGCTTACTGTTGGCCATGATGCATATCCGGAATGGGCAGGGTTTACTGTTGGGCATGGGTGAGATTGAACCTGGAAGTTGACGATTTTGTGGATATTCCCATATAAAAATCTTTTAATTTAAAAGGACAAGGAATTTACAAACCAGAGGAGGCCATTCATGATATTTATTTGTTTTACATCGCCCACATAAGTTTAGTATGCTGCACCAAGAATACATTAGCAATCCATATGTAACCATATGTAAATGTGACCACCAGTTAATGCTGGGCACTATGAGGAAAAAATAAAATCACTATTTTTTTCAGACAATTCACAATTTAGTCAGGATTTTTTTTTTAAAAATAACATGGCTTCTTTGAGGGTGGTGCAGTGATTAGTGCTGCTGCATCATAGAAAGAAGGTCCTGGGTTTGGTCCCCGGGTCAGGTGTGAGACTTTTCTGTGTGGAGTTTGCATGCTCACCCCATGTTCACATGAGTTTCCACTGGGGCTCCAGTTTCCTCCTACAGTCCAAAGGTATGCGCAGTAGGTTAATTGGCAAATCTAAGTTGCCCCCATAATTGTGTGAGTTTGTGCATCCTGCAGTGTGTTGGTTCCTGCCTGCGACCATTGTTCCTGGGATAGGCTCCCCCCCCAACAACCCCAGTTGGGTTTAAGCGGATGGATGGATGTCTTGTTTTAACTAACATTTGTTTAATTTGGACTAAAAAAAAATAAATAAAAAAATGCCCACCAGAAACCTGCATCATATTCCTTACCTTAATAATAATCAGAGGTGTAAAGTAACTAACTACAAGTACTTTGTTACTGTATTTAAGTAGGCATTTTTACAGATATGTACTTTAGTATATTAACTTGTTGCAACATGTTGCTGTATTAGTTTGCAAATTGTATTTGTTAATTTAATTATGTTTAATGACTATATAAAAAGATGCATGAAAAAATCTCCATGGAAGAAAATCTCAGGGTTGTTAACTTTGGTTAGCTAGCTGACATGAGATTTTCAATTTGAGACAAGGCTGCCCAAGCATGTACACCTATGTAACAGTTTTATTACTTTGTAATAAAATTTGTATAGGGTTTGCAAACTACCCCAACGTGTTTGATGTAACTAGCTTTAGGTTTATAATGGAATAATATAGATTTGTCATAAGTTTTCTTGTGTGAGCCTGAGATTCTGAAATCATGAGTGTCACACCAGATGAGTGAGAGTTGGCAACCCCAAAATTTTCAGATTTCTTGAGCTGAACACGAAATATTTGTGGCTTGGAAGCACATTTGTGGCTTAGATCAGTGGTGTACAGCATCACAGCAAACGCCTAATTCCCCACAGTGTAAAGGGACCATATCTTTTGCAATATAATATGGCACCATACCTGTTATTTCTTTCCATTTGGGCAATGATTTATCACATGGGATTACGCTGGAAAACAATGCTTTAAATGTTAGCTGCAGCTTTGGGCTCAGCACTGGGGATAGCCTCGCTAACGCTGCATTTTTTTCACATTCCTGCCACTACACTGAGTGTTTCTGCTGTAAGTGTTAAAATAAATTGGTTGTACTGTGTCAGGATCAGTAGCGGTCCGCGAGACGGGGAAGCAGGAGAAGGAGACGTAGGACTGGGGAATACGGGGTTTAATCGACAAAGGGAGCAGAGACATGGAACAGGCAACGGACGGCAACACTACACAATGAGACTTCAATGATAGACCTAGGGAAACTGACTCAGATGCGGACTAAAATACACAGGACTAATCAGAGATCACTTGAAAAAGCTTATTGCAATCAGGGTAGCACACGTGGTTAATAAGGGGGCGTGGCACACACGAGGATCATACGAGCAGGTCATGACAGAACCTTCCCCCCCCCAAAGGCGCGCACTCCAGGCGTGCCTCAGGGGAGGCGACGGACGAGACGAGACCGGGGACACGGGACCTGGAAAACAAGACCAAGCACGAGGGATCAGGAACAGCATGGACATACAAAACATGCACAAGGGCAACAACCAGGACAGAACCTGACACAGAACGGGAAACGCGGACAGACAAAACAGAAAAGGAGCCACCAGGGAAACACCAACAGGCAGAACGAAAGGGCCAGGAGAGAACAAGAGAGACACAGAGGGACAAGGAGCAGAGACAGGAGGGATGAAACCAGGGGCCAGAAAAGGAAAGGATGGGGGACCAAGGGGAGCCCGAGGGAACCACAGTGGGTGAGGAGTGGCAGCCGGAGGGGTCAGAGGCGACCATAAGGCCAGAGCTGAAGGAGATCTCACAAGGGGCGAGGAGGCAGGCGGAGGGACAGGCGAAGCAGGTGATGAGGAGTGGGCACCAGGAGAGGCAAGGTGGAAGTCGGAGGGGACCACGGTGCAGGAGAGGAGGGAGGAGCAGCTGCAGCAGGCGACAGCGCAGCCACAGCGCTAGCACAGGCGCAGCCGACCGATGAGCTGTAGTGGGGGCAGCTGCAGGTGACTGACGAGCCGAGGCAGGGGAACCTGCAGGTGACCGACAAGGCCGCAAAAGTGGGACTGAAGGCGGCCGACGAGTCCTCAGAGGGGGACATAACAGGCGACTACCGAACAGGAGCCAGAGGACCCACAGGCACCCCCGAGCCCCAGCTAAGGCAAGAAAGGGCGAGCCAGGGGGTAGGGCGAGCCAGGGGGCAGGGCGGGCGGGCGGGATCCAGCCTCTGCATCTATGTCCTCTCCTTCTTTGGGACACCAACAGGTGGGATCCTGGCCGGGATCGACCCTGCTGCGGCGATGGCGGAGGAGTCCTCCTCCTGGAGGAGTCCTTTGGGGCCATTAGGGAGGTCCCCGAGGGGTCCCACTCAAGCTCCTCCTCTCCCTCCATCAAGGGAGGAGGAACGGTGATCTGATAATCCGGGACCTCCTCGAGGACTGGATCTGGAGCCAGGGGGACTGGAGCTGGAGCCTCTATGGGTGGAGCCGGCCCATTAGGCGTGGGTGGAGCAGGAGGCGGATAAAGAGGAACCTCAGGCGGAGTAGGAGGCAGAGGAACCTCGGGCGGAGCCAGGGCCAGAGCGTCGGGCGCGGGCGGAGCTGGGGCGTCGGGCGCGGGCGGAGCCGGGGCTGGGATGTCGGGCAGAGCAGCAGGCAGAGCCAGGACTTCGGGCGCACCAGCTGCTGGAACTAGCAGCCCCGGCAGCACAAGAACGGGCAGGTCAGGCACGGGCAGAACAGGCAGGTCAGACAGCACAGGCAGAGGCTGGTCAGACAGAACAGGCAGAGGCTGGTCAGACAGCACAGGCAGAGGCTGGTCAGACAACACAGGCAGAGGCTGGTCAGACAGAACATTGAAACTGAACCCCCTGCCCCTTCAAACACATGCGGCCCTCAATGCTCCCTATACCCATATCACCGAGATTTCAAAATACAGGAATAGCGTTCTTTTGAAAACACCGTATACCAAGGTATAATGTCTGGTCAGTATTAAAAATTAGATTAGATACTGCCCAAGCCTATTTGCATGTAAATAAACGTACATGTAAGTAAACAAGCTGTCTAAGCACAACAAACCAAGAGATTTTAAAACGCATGCTATTAAACAAAAGAGAACAGTTTGTCCCCAACCCAAACACCAAAAAGATCACTCTGGGATATCTGGAAAACTTTCTTATTGTTACATGCAGTACGCAAGGAGAATATGTGTAATTACTTGTTATGTGGGAAGGCCAGTATGAATAGCAGGCCAATGTGCATCGCTGCTTCCCTGAAATGCCATGAGACAACGGAGAGCAATGCTGAGGACAGAGCTTCAATGGAAGTGCAGAATGCTGAATCATCATGTGGTTCATGTAGATTTTATTTAATAGTCAATAAATGCACTGATTTACAATATTCATGTAGCACACCGACATGTGTATGTAGTTACATCAATATGTTTATTAAAAAGTTAATCTCGGTACTTCTAACGGCTAGGGTTGCCTGAGGACCTAAATAATGTTAATGACATAATCACTAATAACTCAAACATGAATACCATGCCAAGCTTGTCTATGCCATTTTCTTTATGTTGTCCTTGCATATATTGTCCACTGTGGTTTGCTATGCTGCATGGGGATGATCCTATCATTCAGAAAACGGGGTACAAATGTACGGTTTTCCCAGTAACATAGAGAGGAGAAAAATTCTCAAGTCAAGTCGGGTGCCTCAAGTCAGTAAAAGTCTTACTCTGGAAAAAGTGAGGTTATCATATTCAAATACTGCATTTACACATTTTCACAAAGACCATAGGACATGGAAGCTTAATATTTGGTTATTTAAAAATTAAGACACGGGGAAAAGCTTGCAATACCCATGGAGTTGAGATCTCACGCTCCAAATTATATTTAACTAATATGTAACTACAAATAATGTAAAAATCACGTTTAGAAGCCTTTTCCTCCTCTGATTCCACAACGCTGGACAAGATAGCACTAAAAGAACGGATTTTACCATTAATAATCTGTTCGTGGTTAGAGTTATACGTGTCGCTAACTTTATCCAGTATTTTAACTTTATCTGTTAACGTTCCATAAATATAGTAATTTAGTGGGGGATAATCCGCTAAAATGTTTTAATGCACGTTAATTTGATACTGAGGTGCTGATAATATGCGATCTAATTTTTTAAATTTCTTACCCTTTAAAGTGCATCACAAATGGTCTATTCTGCTGCGGCTCCATTGCGCTGCTATTATTTGACGCTCACTTCCGGGAACTATTGACAGGCTCCATCACGATCCTCCGCTGCTGTAAAAAAGGTCCATTGTAGTGAACGGGGTCGACGCAACTCTGTCTATGCGGCTCTGGCTGAAGATCAACACGGATACTCATCAGTAATGAGCAGCTTCGGATACTCGTTTCAGCCAGATATTCGGTTCACCCCCATCAGTTAACCCTAATTAGTGTCAAATTATATCAGTGTTTAATGATGTAGGTGACCTTTTATTTGATACGTGGGAGGTGGGTTGGTTTTTTCATATTGCCTGGCTAATTTAGTGGCGAAAGGCTGACGACGGATTCTTATTTGTGTCAACTCAAATCTGTCAGACTGTAGATATCACGGATTTATGGCTAATGTTTCTCCGGAGTGTTTAGTTCATTTTGCATTCCATCATTCTCCTGGTAATCTCGCCACAGAACTCACTAACTTTGCACATTGTTCTAATCTATTGCAGGTATCTCAAGGCGTGATGTCCCCCACGAAGCCTTCACAGAATGGGAGTCCGTCTAAGTGCCCTCGCTTCATGAAGGTCAAGAACTGGGAGACCGGGACGCTGTACACTGACACGTTGCATCTAAACTCCAGCAAGGTGCCATGTGCTAGTTTCTATCAAAGTATCTCTGACTCTCCTGCTTTAATATTAATGAAATATTCAACTGCTGACAGGATTACAGGTTTAATTCTTTGGCGAGTCGGTTGTTAAAATGTTCATCGTTTGAACTACAGTGGTACCTCAGAACTCGAATTTAATCCGTTCAGAATTCCGGATCGAATCCTAAAAAGTTCGAGTTGTGATCGAATTTTCCCCATAAGAAATAATGGAAAACCAATTAATTGGTTCCCGGCCCCAAAAAATTACACCGAAATATGTTTTAGCGTTTAAACACAAAATGAACCGGATAAAACAGGAGCATATACTGTAATAAACACATCTAAGCACATTTATCAAAACAGTAATTTGTAAAGTAAGAAAATGTATCCAAACAATGTGTAAAGTTAAAAAAAAAAAACATCAATTCAACAATCGTCCGTTCCTTCCGTGTGCCACGCCCCTTCATTAACCCCGTGTGGAGTATAAGTAAGGTCGGATGGCTTTAGATCATAAACCGGAAATTAGCGGAACAGGACGCATTTGTAACTTACTTTTGTCTTTCGTTAAAATATTAACAAGTCCATTTAAATTTCGGTACTGTTAATTGTGTTATTTAACTTGAAAGGGTATTTAGCTATATTACTCCTTACAGCCAAACGTAGTGGAATTATAGTAACGTGTTACTTCCAAAGATTACTAGGCAGCTGTTTGCTAATGCTAACGTTAGCATTGCGTCATTTTGCTTCTTCCACTCTCAGATAAGATAAAGAGAGCTTTATTGTCATTGTGTAAATGAAATGAGATGTCTTTAGAGCAAGCTCGTGGAGACTGTTAAGGATAAAACTGTAAACATGGGTAAACAGAACATATCGGCATAAGTGCATAGATCCACCTCTGTATTTTTAGGAAGATTAGCAATACATGAAAATTTCCTTCAAGTGTGGTAAATTTTCAGTTTTAAATGAGAACCACATGTGAGATTATCTGTCCCATTGCATTAAGCCCTCCATCAAACCCCCATGAATCCCATGTGATCAGCTGTTTCTGGTTGTTGTCATTAGTCCTCTGTATTTTGTCCGCGTTTCAGTTTGTTTCCCCAGTCCGGTCATTGTATTGTCCGTCTGTGTTTTGCCTGCCTTACCTGTAATTAAACCGCGTATTCCCCGATACCCTGATGTCTGCGCCTTTGTCTCCGTTAAGTCCCTGCTCAGCATGACAATATTATTATAATTAAATGTATTAATAGTTTATTATTAATATTTAATTAGAAATCTTTATTTTTACATTTATTTTGTAATATTACTGCTATTGTCTATCATTGTCTAAATGTATTTTTACTGTCTAAATATATGTATTCAGCTAGTGTAAACATGCACCATGCTATCATAGCAAATGTGAGGCTGAGACTGAAGCATTACGCTGTTACCCTTTGTTTCTGCTGAGAGACGTGCTGCGTGACTCATTTCTCCCCGCACAAGTTCTTAGGTCGGCGTTCATGGTTCGACTTCTGAAATTCAGATCAAGTTCTAGCTAATTTTTTTTCGAACTGGTTGGTTAGACTTTTAAGAAATTTGAGTTCTAATGAGTTTGAGAACTGAAGTACCACTGTACCTGGTTTTAAAATGACTTCTTGCACCTTTATCACTGAATGGACTCATCAAGTGTTGCCATTCCAGAGCATCTTACAGCATAAGTGCATCAGACCCTCATTCATGAATCATGAATCATGTGCAATATGGGTCAGTGCTTCGAGCGAGTGGCCCAGTCAGATGACACGGCTCATTTCAGTGATGCAAAGCTTTTTTTCTCAGCAGCTGTCTTTGACTCATGACCGTTTGGTTGTAATCTACGTGCTATATCGATGGCTGCTTGGGATGATTGCATCCCAATCACATTTAGTCACACTCCATTGGACTGAAAGTTTCCACTCTTTGGCCCAGCGAGACCACTGGGTATGTTAAGAGATTTAGTGAAATGGTGGAGTACCCCCCCCCCGCCACCCCTCCATAAGGCAGAATGCTCACCAAGCTTGTAGGACAGGGTTCTCAAATTCCACTCCTGGAAGGCCAATGTGCAACAGATTTTCTTGCTTAGATACACTTACTAAACCTGGTAATTAGCTGATTTAACATGTTTGAGCAGGGAAACCGGCAAACTGTAAACTGCCCCTCCAGGATCATAGTTGGGGAACCCTGTCATATGCTCTACCATAATTCGAGGTTGTATGTGTTTTGTAATTGATGGCTGCAATTTTCATTATGCATTGTGTGAGCATAGGATAGACACTAGGGGTGTATGGCACACAAAAATCACGGTTTGGTACGTACCTTGGTTATGAAGTCACGGTTCGGTACGTGCCTCAGTTTTGAAGTCACGGTTCGGTACGTGCCTCAGTTTTGAAGTCACGGTTCGGTACGTGCCTCAGTTTTGAAGTCACGGTTCGGTACGTACCTCAGTTTTGAAGTCACGGTTCGGTACGTGCCTCAGTTTTGAAGTCACGGTTCGGTACGTGCCTCAGTTTTGAAGTCACGGTTCGGTACGTACCTCAGTTTTGAAGTCACGGTTCGGTACGTGCCTCAGTTTTGAAGTCACGGTTCAGTATGTTTTCAGCACAGCGGTGGTAAAAGAAACAAAACATAAATTACATCTTTTTTTTTTTTTTTTTAAACACTGGTTTACTGAACAAAATATGACTGTCTTAAAGTGTCTGTCAATACTGCTGCAAATATTGTCACAAAAAACAAAGCATAACAAAATAAATATCCATTATGGTGCAGCATTTAAAAAAATATCTGTGCTTTACTTGTATTCACATGAACAACTTCTTGCTTCACATTAGGACGTACGTGCTCGTTTGTAGTGGCGCAGTTCCGCCCCTTTCCGAATGCTGCTCAGGGGAGGAAAACAAACACACAAAGGTTCTGCATTTGTATAATACTGTACCGAACCGAAAGACCCGTAACGACAATTTTCGGTATGAATCCATATACCGTTGTACCCCTATGGACATGTGAATCCTTTGCTAAAGCTTTACTGATTTATTTTGTAGGTACCGATCTGCACAGAGAAAGTGTGTATTGGGTCCGTGATGACCCCAAATCAGCAAGCCAGGAGACCGGATGAGGTCCGACCCAAAGAAGAGCTACTTCCTCTTGCTACTGATTTTATCAACCAGTACTACACCTCCATAAAAAGGCAAGTCAGGACTCGCACTGGAGTAAGGGAACACAGTGGTGGTAAATTCTTGACTCAGTGTTGTGATGGTGGAGAACTTGAGTTGTCAAAAGTGTTGGTTCTGAAAACTTCTGTGGGCAGGTTTGGCTCAAAGGCCCATATGGACCGGCTGGAGGAGGTCACAAAAGAGATCGAGGCTTCTGGGACTTACCAGCTGAAAGACACTGAGCTTATCTATGGTGCTAAGCATGCTTGGAGGAACGCGGCGCGCTGTGTGGGGAGGATCCAGTGGTCCAAACTTCAGGTGAGGAGCAGTTATGATCTTTAATCGCGCTGTGTGGAATCACCACATAAGATCTCATTACTTTCAGTTATTGGTCTATCTTTCCAATTATGTCCAAATAAATTGCAGTATTAAATGAAAGTGCAGAAGTTCAAATTAGTAAATTACTTTGTAATGTTGACCAGAAAATTTTGAGGAACAGTTCCTCCCACATGCTCTCAGTCACTCACAAGGAATGGATAAACCACAGAGAACTCATTGCATTCATTGGTGCTTTTTTCAAATTATTATTTCAAGTTAAATTACAGAATTGAATGAAAGGTGGCAGATGGAACAAATGGTGAATGATTATTTCATGCTGACCAGTATTAATACTGCAGATATTTTTGGGTTATATAAAAGAGCATGTTTTTGTCTTTGCTAGGTCTTTGATGCTAGGGACTGCACGACTGCCCATGGAATGTTTAATTACATCTGTAACCACATCAAGTACGCCACCAACAAAGGCAACCTCAGGTAGGCTTCCATGGGGCTCCTTCTCCCACACACTCCATCTCCCATAGACGATCCCACTGAGGGAGAGAGAGATGTGTGTGTATGTATGTACGTATGTATTTTTTTATTTTTCCCCCTTCCTTCCCCATCAGCTTTCGTTAGCTGACGACCACTGATCCGCCTCATTGGGTCTTATTATACTCCGTAGTGGCTCCATGAACCCGTCTGATTAATTCCTGCTGATTTCCCCAAAGCCTGGGGGCGCTGGCCTTGCCCTGCCTCGCTGTCAGGATACAGGGCACACGTCATGAAGACGGAACAGGGAATGTGAAAGCTGTGAAGATTAAATTTGTGTGGCAGTAGGGGCGGGGGGAGTCATCTTTGCAGTTTGTTTCCTGCATGGCGATATGACCTACTGCCCTGGGAATCGGTTGTTTGCTAATATGGGAGGATATCAAGCGCAGAGCAGAAATTGTAGATCTGCATGAGCATAACTGTTGACAAGCCTCTTGTGCTTGAGATCCTCCCACCCGTCATTTCTATCCATGTTTTATCAATTCATGGTCCACAAGGGCAGGAATATGGACACCCTGTGAAATGGTGACATATGGCAGAAGAACACAAACCAAGCTGAAAAGTCAAATGTGAGACGTGTCCTGAGAGCTCAGCACATCCAAAGCTTTATTTCTTCACTTTTCTATGCATATATTCAGTCAGCAATAAGTAGTTTCTATACCTGGATTTTATGTGAGGAATTGTGCAGATGCTGGGAAGACACGATTACACTGCCCACCTCTCAACCGCTGCTGTTAGTAGCCCGAAGGAAATTCAATTAACAAGTTTGACTCCTGGGTTTTGTGACTGTGTGCTCACGTAAATCTTTCACTATTATGCAATGTATGCTCTATTTGTAGGTCTGCCATTACCATATTTCCTCAGAGGACAGATGGCAAGCACGATTTCCGTATCTGGAACAGCCAGTTAATTCGGTATGCGGGCTACAAACAGCCCGATGGATCCATTTTGGGAGATCCAGCATCCGTTGAATTGACTGAGGTAAACTGTGAGCCTGTCTTGCAGATTGAAGCAACAACATGAATAAAGTTCATGCCTACCTCTCTGCCCAATCCGTCCGTTTTAACACATTTTTTTTCTCTTCTCACAGATCTCCATACAGCAAGGGTGGAAAGCACCAAAGGGACGCTTTGATGTCCTACCCCTACTTCTCCAAGCCAACGGCAATGATCCCGAGCTTTTTGAGATTCCCGATGACCTGGTGATGGAGGTGCCAATCACACATCCCAAGTGAGTCCATCTCAGAGGAGGAAGAAATGTAGACACATAACCATCCATGTCATTTTCTCCGACTGATTTGGGGCTAACGGTGCCTACCATGGATGGATGGATAAACGGCTCCCCCTCAGCACTGCTGACACACATGCTTATGAGCTCTGTGCGGCCATTGGATTAGAGGGACATGCATGCCTATGTGAGGCACTGGTTGCCAAGTCTTAGGCTGGCTGTGTCCCTTGGAACTGTATCAACAGGGCCTGGGGACGCTGCCAGCTTGGCCGTGCAACTGACATGTCTGATGTCGCCCCGTCGCGTGAAATTCTTGCAGCCTTCTGCTGTGGCAGCAGCAGGGACGTGTTCATCAGATTAATGGGGGCTCAGGATCTCCAAAGCAGCTACCAGATGGAACCTAGGCCAGACATTTCTGTGTTTGAAACTCCTACAGATGTCTGAGTGGTTTTGGCCAAAAACCTGCATGTGCTTTCATCAGCTGACCAAATTTAAAGGGGCAGGCTCCTTTTAAAATAATGAATAAATAAATAATAATATATAGACATATTTTCATTCAGGCTGTGTCGTCAGGCCTATTTTTGGGGAGCTTAAAATGGAGCCCCCTTAAAACGTGTTTTTTTAGCTCCCCCAAATGTGTTTTTATTGACTTAAGTCATGAATAGCATGAATAACATTTTATATTATGTATAAGTTTGCCATCACGCCTGCCCTGTATAGACTGAGCTCCCCTATCCATTCATCTTTAACTAAGCCCCTGGTGTCAACACAAACACAAAGTAATCAGACACAAAGAATTTTGTGCGTAGCGACTTGTTAAACTGGTTGTTGTCCATTGGCAGGGTGGGTCACGAAAGATCGCAGTTGGCAGCAAGTTCAAGATGAATGAGTCAACCAAAACGAAACATTTCAAGGTGTTTTATTTGCCACATTTAACAAGTGCAGTGCGATGCCTACTTTTTCAACTGCACACAGTACAAAGAACAGCCAACAGTGTATAAATAAATTAGGAACAGACATTAGATGTGCAGTAAACAAGACTAAATGTCAATTCAAGACTAAATGTCAAGTCGGTAATATTGCAAAAGTTCAGATTTACCTATTGATGGGGAAAGATTGCTGTCCACTACATTCAAGAACATTCTGATGCTGTGAGACCACTTACCAGCTTCCATGGTTAAGAACAGCTTGTGGTTTGGGCTTGCTAGCAAACAGAGCAGGATCACATAATTAAACCAGTTTGTTAAAAATGAAATCCGCTTAACTGGGATTAAGGAATCTGTGTACAGGTTAATGATCCATCTTCAAAGTCCAGTATTACAGTTCAAATCTTCATCCAGCGAAGTTGACCTTTCTCCGTTGTACTCATATGCAGGTTTGAGTGGTTTGGAGAGCTGAACCTGAAGTGGTACGGGCTGCCTGCAGTGTCGAACATGCTGCTGGAGATCGGGGGGCTGGAGTTCACTGGCTGCCCCTTCAGCGGCTGGTACATGGGCACAGAGATTGGCGTGCGTGACTTCTGTGATGCTTCTCGCTACAATATCCTTGAGGTACTGCAGCCATCGCTGGGGTGACTGACTGCCTTGGCCAGAGAAACCTACAGCTATTTCTCTTATTACTGTCTAGCATCCCAAGAAAACAAATCTCTACCACTGTTGACATATCCCAAAAGCTTCTACCGATCAAATTGTTTATTGTAGGTGAAATGAAAAGCTTTCAGTGTTGACCAAGTAATTGTTTGATGGAGCTAGAACATTGTATTTATTGAGACCCTTGAAATGAAAGTTCAGTACAGGAGGAGTACATTGCAAGACTGAAAATTACTCTTTAAATGGGGGACCAAGTCTCTTCAAAGACTTACTGTTTGGCCTAAGACTTTATGCTCCATTAGCAATCTCTCTTAAACGTAGCATACTGCTAGATTAATTATTGGCCTGCTCAGTGGTTTTATTCATATCGTATCAGTAACTCAATGCATTTGTCCAATTCAGCTGCCTTATTTGATCTTTGAATATTTACTTAAAGCATTAAGCAGGCAGCCAAAGCCAGAATCTTCTAACAGAAAAAAGTATCCTAAATGCATGTTGTGTCATTGAATTCAAATGGCCATTTGGAGAACTTGGTACAATTTGACAGCATCACATTAATTTGCCACTGTAAACCTCACCTGTATTTTTGTGCTGTGTAATGCAGGAAGTGGCACAAAAAATGACTTTAGATACCAGGAAGACTTCATCGCTGTGGAAAGACCAGGCGCTGGTTGAGATAAACATTGCAGTCCTCCACAGTTTCCAGGTGCCGTCATCCCTTCCCAAAACACAGTTGTCTTCATCATTCCCCAGGACCAGAATCAACCACGACTGGTTGATGATAATGTGTGACTGTTTATTTTTCATTTTTCTGAGGTGTCACATAGACAGAAACTCATTCTGAATTGGAAGACTGTTGTTTTTCTGAGAATTTGACATCAGGGAACACACCTGAGATAGAAAGATGTCATGCCGGATTAGAAATAAAAACAATTATGAAACTGCGAAGGCGCATGAAACCCAATCAGGGTGCCACAGTCTTTACGACTGGTTCAATTAAGTCACAACAGCAGACTGAAGTGATGTTTTTTTTTTTACCAGGCTGTGAGATTTTTTGACATACTGGCAAACAGGACATGACGTGGTCCGAAAATCGCAATTTGCGGTGGGAAATGAGTCTCACACCTCAGCCCCCTCAAACTCCCGTTTGCCCTGTTCTCTCCCCAGAGCTCCAAAGTGACCATAGTGGATCACCACTCAGCTACCGAATCCTTCATAAAGCACATGGAGAATGAGTTCCGGGTCCGGGGGGGCTGCCCCGGGGACTGGGTGTGGATCGTGCCGCCCATGTCCGGGAGCATCACCCCAGTGTTCCACCAGGAGATGCTGAACTATCGACTGACGCCTTCCTTTGAGTACCAGGTCTGTGGGGAAAACGAGCCCACTGGGAAGCCGTCTTGGGGTTACCCCACACAGGGGCGTTTACAGGAGTAGGGCCACAGGGGCATTGACCCCAGCTGGAATCTGACTGGTCCCCAGAATGCCCTCTCCCCTGTCACTCAGCAATGCAAAACATATCATTGGCTAATAAGGTCGACGTTATGAATTATAGCCCCTACTCACACTGCTGTTTCTTACAGCCCGACCCATGGAACACTCATGTGTGGAAAGGAGTGAATGGAACGCCAACAAAAAAGAGAGCGATTGGCTTCAAGAAGCTGGCAAAGTAAGAGGAGGGAGGGGGGGCAGCATTCTCACCTTCTCCAGATAGGTGCATGCTAAGCATTCCCCTGTCTGTGATCATGGGAGTCCACATGCTTTTTGCATGCTCTTCATCACACCTTTGAACAGAACTGGGCAGCCAGACATGCGCTGCCTCTGCTGGGCTCATTTATCCCGTTTTACCCTCACTTTGAGGTGAAGATGAAGAGCATCAGGTGAGGTGCAGGGGGGACGCAAGTGGAGACAGCGTATCTAACAATGTAATCCACTCGATGATCGCCGAGGGGGGTAATCAGCTCCTCGTTAGGTGCGTTTTTATAGACCTATTACCATGATTGCCCCGAAACATAGAGAGGTAATTACGGTAATTGCGACTGCCATTGCGATTTAGCACAAAATATGGTGCCTGTCTGAGAGCACTTCTGAAGATATGGTGTCCATGAATGGCCTTAAGATGGGGAGGGATGAAGATTTTCAGGCCTTTGCTCCCCCCCCCCCACCACTTACAGCCCACATCACATTCACAGGGCAGTGAAGTTCTCTGCCAAGCTCATGGGTCAAGCCATGGCAAAGAGAGTGAAGTCCACCATACTGTATGCCACAGAAACGGGGAAGTCCCAGGTCTATGCCAAAACCCTATGTGAGATCTTCAAGCACGCCTTTGATGCCAAGGTAACTCCCGCCTTTCGTTTTGTGTTTGTTTCTCTGTGATTTCAGAAAAATTAATGAATGATAAATATACATGCATGTGTGCATGCATACCTGGTAAAACAGCTCTGGGTACAAATAAATATCCACACCACTGACAAATTTCCCAGTGGTATGCTCTGTTGTTTCCCCTCTCCTCCATGAAATGGAACATGAGAGGAGGTTTAACTGAATTTACTCCTCCGAGCATGTTACACTTTTATTTTTTAAAGCAAAATCAGGAAGAACGCTCAGGTGTGAAAATGTGGCCCTTTAAAAAGAAATACCAAGATTAATAGACATTTTTCTGTCATTGAGTTTCCCTGCAGGATGTCAGTTTTGATTTCTGTCATAGAGTAAGGCTGTGATGTGGGAGCGGGGTGTCAAACACAGATGACTGCGCCGAGCATCCATACATCCTCGCATCCATACATCCTCGCATCCTCGCATCCTTACATCCTCGCATCCTCGCATCCTCGTCCAAATGCTGCCGCCTCTGAGCTCAGCATTGCCTGCAGGCGCTCATTTTAGCCAGACCCATGGGTGTGAATTGTGATTGCAGCCAGAAGTGTAAAGCTTGTTATAGTACATATTATGTTGCGTCTGCCTGAAAGGTCAAGTTTTTATATATAACATCTGTCTTTTTGGGCAGATTGTTCATTCAGAAAAGTTTTTGGTTTGCTGTGTGTGTGTATTTGCCTTAAATGGCCTTGCTTAGGGGTACTTCTAGATTCTGTTAGGGGTACAATACATGGTGTCAAAGGGAAAATATAGGAGTTGACAACCGTCCCTGTCATTTTGCTTTTGTGTGCCAGGTGATGTCAATGGATGATTATGATGTCGTGGATCTGGAACATGAAACCTTAGTGATAGTGGTGACCAGTACATTTGGAAATGGAGACCCACCTGAGAACGGAGAGGTACTGAGAGACGGGTTCATTTTCTGCTTCTGTAGCTGTGACCGGTTATATCCCCCTCGTATCAATAGCTTAAAAAAAGCGTATCTACGTCGTGTTGAAAAATATCCATTGAAGAAATGGGCTGGCTGTAAGTTCCTGTTGCTTTTTAGAAATTTGGCGCTGCCTTGATGGAAATGAGACATCCAACCTCCAACACAGAAGACAGAAAGTGAGTCACCATTCCTTTGTTGAAGTCCTCCAACAGTATGGTACAGAGATATTGATGTTATCTTTATCCTCAGTGACATACACTTCCTCGACTGTTTCTCTGCATTGCATATCATTGCACTCTAATTCTCCCCCAATTTGTATTTTTTACACCCAACCAACCCAACGCATCCTTGCAGGAGCTACAAAGTTCGCTTCAACAGTGTCTCCTCGTATTCAGACACACGCAAATCTTCCAGTGATGAACCAGAGCTGAAGGTCAACTTCGAGAGTACTGGTCCTCTCGCCAATGTCAGGTAAATTACCAGAGACTGGCTCTCTGGCATCGATCTGATAGGATGGAGGAGCATGCACATCTCATCAGCAAAATCAGCATGGATCTTACCTTTAATGGCTTAACCCATAACGCGCTTACATTTATGCTGTGTGGGAGGGTAAAGCTACAGATGTCTTCTGTGGGTGTTTTAAGTATGTGGAGCTCCTCTTTGATGCAAAAATTCATTTTGAGGAAGAGGGCCTGAAACGATTTCATGTAAAAAAAAAAAAAAAGAAAAAAAAATAACCAGCATGACACACCGCATATTTACTGCTGTTTGGAGCTTGTAGGAGTCCAAAGGGGAGCCCACATGATTGCTTTTGCCCATTCCGTGCAGGTTCTCTGTGTTTGGCCTTGGCTCCAGGGCCTATCCACACTTCTGTGCCTTTGCCCACGCTGTGGACACGCTGTTTGAGGAGCTCGGTGGGGAGCGCATCCTACGCATGGGAGAGGGGGATGAGCTCTGTGGACAGGAAGAGTCTTTCAGAACATGGGCCAAGAAGGTCTTTAAGGTGGGAGCGGGGGGTATGTGGGGGTCAGTTACACCTGGAGAGGTCACAGTGACCTTGAGATCTTTCTACGAAGATCAAATCAATCATCCTCTTGACTGACGGCTGCAAGTCTTGCCCATAGAGACAGGATAAACGTAGATCCTGCTGGGTCGATGTTTCTAGGTGTCTGTAGATTGATTACATCTCAACAGACAACAGAAAAGTGCCATGCATGGTTTAATCTCACCAAAATCAGTCCCTTGACTTGCCATCTGTTAAAGGCTGCCTGTGACGTTTTCTGCGTTGGTGATGATGTGAACATTGAGAAGGCCAATGACTCGCTAATCAGCAATGACCGCAGCTGGAAGAAGAGCAAGTTCCGCCTCACCTACACTGCTGAGGCTCCGGAGCTGACACAAGGTAAAGGTTGTCTCATTAATGGCTCATACAGAGCATGAATCTGGCTAAATACAAGCATCACACTGCTGCATCAAACTCATCACACTGTGCAGGTTCTGTATGTACTTCCTCCTGATTTATTACCGCTTTTGTTTCTACCCACAGCACTGTACAACATACATAAGAAGAAGGTTTATGGAGCAAAGCTGCTGAAACGACAAAACCTACAAAGTCCTAAATCTGAGTAGGTGGTCCAATCTGTCTTTGATGGGTCATAGTCTTGCACATTAGGCAGAAGTGTGACCGTCACTGAGAAGTTAACACTTGCCTTCTGAATGTCTCCCCCTCCAGTCGTTCCACAATCTTTCTGAAACTCCACACAAATAACCATGACACCCTGAAGTACCACCCTGGAGACCACCTGGGCGTCTTTGCTGGCAACCATGAAGACTTGGTGAACTCACTCATTGAGAAGCTAGAAGATGCTCCACCTGTCAATCAGATTATGAAGGTGGAGTTCTTAGAAGAGAGAAGCACAGCTTTAGGTAATCTGTTTCCTGATATTTGCGGCTGCATGTTTTCCAGATACTTGCATGTATAACATCCTTTCTCAAACTGTGTACTTCCCTGTTTTGTTGGTTTGCTTCCTGACTTGGAGTTTGTGGGTGTACTGTTTTTGCCATGTTTCCTCCAAGTACTCCAGTTTTCTCAGCCCAAAAGCATCTCAAATTTGTGTCTGTAAATTGTTCCTTGTGACAATCTCCCAGCCAGGGTTTGCCCATCCCATTGTTTTGATGGGACTGGCTTCTGATTCACCAAAATCCATACATACGGGTCAGTGTTCTTGGAAGATTAATGTATGCTTTCTTTCTTTCTTTCCTTCTTTCTTTTTTTCTTTCTTTCTTTCTTTCTTTCCTTCTTGTTTTAATGTTCTGTGTTGCTTTATTGTCCTTCCAAGGTGTGATCAGCAACTGGACAGATGAGACTCGTATTCCCCCTTGTACCATCTATCAGGCCTTCAAATATTTCCTGGATATCACAACTCCACCCAGCCCTCTCCTCCTGCAGCAGTTTGCCTCATTGGCCAGCAATGAAAAGCAGAAAAAGAAGCTCGAGCTCCTCAGCAAGGTAGAACCAAAGTGATTCTGGGTAGGGATCGGTGGAGCTTACAGGACCGCTCACAAATCCATGTGACGTGGAAGCTGACTTGTAGTGCCAAATTAATTAATCAAATTTCACCTCAACTACACAAGAGATCCACTGAAGGACACCTCCAGTTTTTCTTGTTTGGTCCATTTCCTTTGTCATATTTCATAGATAATGTGTGTTTTGGTTCAGATGCCGTAACCCACAGACACATTTAATTATGAATCCACCCACAATCAAATATCCATTTCATGAATGTTCTGAAAACGTTCTGAAAAATCATTGTTTATGCTCTGGTATACTCTCAAAGCAAGCTTCTCTGTTGGTTATTTTGGATCTGGCTGTGGATGAGAACAGTCATATCTATAATACTTCCCCAAGGCATTTCAACAAAATGGAAAGCATAGAACTGACTGTCGCTGTCCACAATCCAATATCACCAGGGCTTGCAGGAATATGAGGAGTGGAAATGGTACAACAACGCCACCATGGTGGAGGTTCTGGAGGAGTTCCCCTCCCTTCAGATCCCATCCACACTCCTGCTCACCCAGCTGCCCCTACTGCAGCCACGCTACTACTCAATCAGCTCCTCGCCGGACACCTTCCCTGGGGAGATCCACCTCACAGTGGCTGTGGTGTCTTACCGCACCAGAGGTGAAGGAAACGCTTCAGCCTCATTTTCTCTTAAACCTTAAGCTCTCAGTAAAATGATGTTATTTCAGCTTGTTAAACAGAATATGTTTTAGCAGATGGAAACCCATTTTAAACTGTACTTTTGCTAAATTACCTGAGGAAAGTCATTTTGAACCTCTCAAACGGAGTAGTTTGCTTTTGATTACAGATCAACATTTGCTTGTAGAGTTTTAATTGATACTTTTATCTAAAGCGACTTGCGCTCTAATCCATTTAAGCAGCTGAATTGTATTTTTATTTATTTATTTTTGGGGAGCAATTTAGGTTAAGTACCTTAACACAACAGCCTTTCATGTTAAGCTCCTAAACGGCTTTACCCCCGACATTGTTACTGCTTGTGTATTTCAAAGGGACGGTAGAGGAACACTGATGTGTAATCATCTCTTGCAGATAGTGAAGGCCCTATTCACCATGGTGTCTGCTCTTCCTGGTTGAACAGGATAGAGGTTGACGAAATGGTCCCATGTTTTGTTAGAGGGTAAGACTATCTTGAAGTTGGATGCATGAAACCATTTATTCTCCATTAGAGTTGCTCTGCAATAAATTTATGACCATGTATTATTTTTTACACACATACCATTGACTAAAGGGTAAATATGGTGGGAGTTGCTCCAAAGATATTAGGCATGAATATTTTAAAGAGTAAGGCATAGTTTTTCCTAATCACTGTAAGCAGTGTGAATATGTGATCAAACATCTGTTCCAGAGCTCCAACCTTCCAGATGCCCAAAGACCCCAAAGCTCCATGTATCCTGATTGGACCAGGAACTGGAATCGCCCCCTTCAGAAGCTTCTGGCAACAGAGGCTGCATGATTTGGAGCAGAGGGGTGGGTCTCGGCTGACCTTAATGTCTTCACACTTGGTCGGGTGTGCCTTGTGGCTTATGCCAATGAGGCCTGTCTGTGTTTTTTACGGTCCAGGGATCACAGCGTGCCCCATGATCCTCGTCTTTGGATGTCGGCAGTCACAAATCGATCACATTTACAAAGAAGAAACGATTCAGGCCAAAAACAAGGGGATATTCAAAGAACTGTACACAGCCTACTCCAGAGAGCCAGGAAAACCAAAGGTAGGAACACAGCTTGGCTAACTTCATCAGCAAGCTGGCCAATTTAGTCTTGCTACTAACAAGGGCATTTGAAAGTCTTCCACGGGTAAAGTTCTAAAGATGACAACTCTCTGTCTCTCTCAGAAATACGTCCAGGATATTCTCCGTGAGCAGCTGTCGGAGACAGTCTACAGCTACCTGAAGGAGCGGGCTGGTCACATCTATGTGTGTGGGGATGTGACCATGGCTGGGGATGTCCTGAAGACCGTCCAGCAGATTGTTAAGCTGCAGGGCAACATGCCTCTGGAGGATGCTGGCTTCTACATCAGCAAATTACGCGTATGGGCTTCCTCTGTTTGAAACCTTCAGGCACAAGGTCAGCACTGATTCTGAGATGTCCTTTTACTATGCACACTGATCTCATTCCAGGACGAAAACCGCTACCATGAAGACATCTTTGGGGTCACCCTGCGCACTTACGAGGTCACCAATAGGCTGAGGTCGGAATCCATCGCTTTCATCGAGGAGAGCAAGAAGGACTCGGATGAGTAAGTTTTCTGCAGCTTCTCGGTTTCATGGGTCAAATTGCTTACTGTCCTGAGGAAATCCCCATTTGTTTCTTGAGGTACCATAGAAGGGAGCCGGTAGTTGTAATCTGAAGAAGCTCCAGCTTTTAGAATGATGCCACAAAATCAGCATGGTAACCATAGAAACTACAGTTTGAAGGGCCTGCATCTAACAGGATTATGGTTTTCCAAGTGGCTCTGTTTTCCACACTCACATTTGGACATTTCATGATAAGAGCTTTTGTACAAGTACTTATCTGTACGGTATAAGCAAGTCCGGGTGGATTGACTCAATGATTGTATAGCATCTAGTGGCTGCTTTTTGTGAGTGTTGGAATAACTACAGCAGCCCATCTTCATTTTATATTTCAGGGTGTTCTGTTCATAGAAATGTGCAGGACCAAGCCAAGTGACCTGGATTGGATCCCTTGAAGGGGAAACTCACGTAAACCAAGCAGCTAGTCAACAATACTGTGCCAAGTTTTATACTGTAAATTATTACCAATGCATTTTTCTACCAGTTATGCTTTGCGATGGTTAGGCAATGCACTTGGTCTGTGGAAATCATTTTCAATGTTATTTTCAGAGGTTGTGGGGTTTTTTTTTTCTTCCCCCAAATGCACTTTTTCTTCATTACTTTGAAATTGATTTGCTTTGAAGCACTGTTCCCCCAACCTGCTAGCTGTCTCAGTAACAATGCATGAGAGAGACAGCAGTATGCGGCGTATTCAGTATATTCAATGTTAAATATTTAATGTGAGAATAAATGCCTGGTTGATAAGGTGGAGTATTTTCATGACGCTAACATGGGTGTATCTAAGAGTGGGGTTCCGTTTGTACACACTGCAAAGGAAGCCAGTGCAACTGGTGCTTCCTCTGACATGGCGCAGCAGATATTAAGACAGACGACAACATGGAGAGGCATAACATTGGGTTCCTGATGCTTAGTTTGCTGGCCCCTTTTGCTGCTGCGCCTTAAATAAAGCAAATGGGATTCAGCATCCCTGCTGACAGTCCATCAAAGTGCATGCCTGGTCCCCCCCCCCCCCAACACTGTCTGTTGCTGTTAGGGGCGTTGATTTTTGAGGATTGGTGTCCAGACTGAGGCTGCATTAAGATGCTAGCCAATAACCACTGTTTCATGAGGGTGAGAAACCCAGGAAGATCAACACCATCACCAGTCATTAACCGTCTGACTTTTTCCTTATGGGGGGGGAAATGCTCTTGGTAACAGTGTGTAAGTATTGCATCATACTAAGACGTCTATAGTGTGCTTATTTGAAAGGCTTTCTTTTGCATTATCTTGACAAACAACCACCGGGTGACACTTAGTATGAAACTGACTGTGTACTTTCTTAGATCACACACGAAATGTCGTCTCACTGAGCTGAGTATATAAGGGAGGGCTGGAAAGCCTCTGGATAGCGTCCTTACTCTCGGGATGCCTCGCCATTGACTGGGAGTGAAGGGACCTCATTCAGTACAGTGACAGAAAATGAAAGGACGTCGCACAGTTCTGTGTATAGCGTCTCAGGCTTTGCTGTCCAGCTATACGAGAGTGGGCGGCCTGCCTCCGCCGCATTCCGGGCGATGACTAAAGCATGTAATTTGCACTGGCATTGCTATCCACCTCACCAGGCCCAGCGGAAACCGGTGGAAAAGACAGGCATGGATCCACGTGGACTGCAAAGCCTCTGCTGATGTCTGTCGGGCCACACCAAACCCGGAGGGGGGGGGGGTGCCTGATCCACCTCTTTGTCATGCATGCTTTCTCCTGACCGCCCCCCCCCCCAAGTGTGCTTATCAGAATGTCCAGAGGACTGACTTTTTTTCCTTATGGTTCAGAAGTCACTGCCAGTTCCCCC